CTGCACCTTGGGAGAAGGAATCCACAGCATACATACAGGCTGGGGAGTTCCCCTCTTGAAAGCACAGGGGCGAAAAGGGATCTTGGAGTCATTATTGACTCCAAGATGAACATGAGCCGCCAATGCCAGACCTAGCCAGCAAGGCCAGCCATACCCTGTCATGCATTCAAAGATGCATTTCAAGCCAGTCCAGAGAAGTGATACTCCCCCTCTATGTGACTTTGGTCAGGCCACAGTTGAAGTACTGCATCCAGTACTGGGCGCCACACTTCAAAAGGGATGTGGCCAGCTTGGAGAGGGTTCAGAGGAGGGCCACCCGCTTGGTGAAAGGGCAGCAGGACAGGCCCTACGAGGAGAGACTGAGGGACCTGAACCTGTTCAGCCTCAGCAAGAGGAGGCTGAGGGGGGACCTGGTGGCTGCCTACAAACTCATCAGGGGAGATTAACAACAAATAGGTAGAGCCCTTTTCTCCCCAGCACCACCTGGGGTGACAAGGAACAATGATAATAAGCTGATGGAGAATAGATTTAGGTTAGAGATCAGAAGGCAATATTTTACTGTTAGGGTGGCCAAAATCTGGAACCAACTTCCCAGGGAAGTAGTCCTCGCCCCTACTTTGGGCAAATTCAAGAGGAGGTTGGATGATCACCTGTCTGGGGTCTTGTGAACGCAGCATTTATTCCTGCCTGTGGCAGGGGGTCAGGCTAGATGATCTGTTCAGGTGCTTCCTGACCCTAGTTACTATGAAACTATGGGGCTGGCTGGGAATGGTGAATGTCACCATAAAGCAGATTATCAAGGCAAAACTCAATTCGTTAAGTGACAGCTGTATAATGTTTTTTCTGCTTCAAGATTTTGATTGCCCTGTCTCCAAGGTTTTTTGATTATTTGGTTTTTGTTTTTTTAATAGGGAGTTCCCATAACCTTTTTACATATTGCTAATGGGCAAAATTCAGGGGAATGCTGTATTTTCAGATTACTCAATCTGAGGGACAATTGCATATTTTTTTTAAAGTTGCAGATTATGTAAATATACAGACTTTATGGATTTTTGTTTGTGTTCTGTAGAGTGCTCTGCATATTTGTTGGGGAAATGGATACTGAGCTCAGCGTGGAAGATGGGTAAGGCTTTTTGTTATTTCAGGCTATTTAATCCCAAAGGCTTTATACATGTTTCTGAGAGCACATAGACTTGTTGAAACCAGCAGTAAGTGATCAATCAGAGCATGACAAACATCAGTTAATGAGGTGATCATCTTAAAAAAGTGGGGCAGAACTATTCTTATGATGCTCGGGGAGACTTCAGTGTCCTCTAAAGGTAAATAAAATTATTAAATTAATTTTGCTATTGAGATTTTTTTGTTTGTTATTAATTCGATTACTTCCCTGTTGCGTGTTATAAAATGCGCTAACTAACTGCACAAGCAAAAAATAATAGTTGAATGTATAATTCTTTATTGAAGGCCAACTCTACAGACTGTTTCCTTTTCTCAGTTGCCTTTACTTATAAAAGTGGCATGACTACTTTTTAAAAACATTTTTAATACAGCACAAAAACAACTTCACTGAGATTTTAGTTTTAATTGGTATTGATATTTTTATTATTATGTTTCATAATATAATTAGCTTCATGCTGTTGAGATGAATTGGGAAATCAGTAGTAATTGTAGATATTTTTTAAAAAATTAAATACTTCCTTTATTAATTTTATTAATTCTATTTAAAATGTCATTAGAAATTGTGATGAAGTAGTGCAATGTACTTTTTTTTATTTACAGAAAACATCTTCTGGTAAATATTTGTCAGAAACCATCTGAGAAGGCTGGCTCCAAGTACTTTATTTCTCTGAACTGGAAAGAGGTAAATTTAAATTTCTGGAGACCATATATGATAAAATATTCTCTTCATTTTTAAATGAGTTAAGAAAAGCATCTATTTGCTGTTTCATCCAGTTTACATTGTCCAATGGTATTAATTTAAATAATGGTTACTTTGGAACAGTATTGGGGAAAATTTTCAATGGCAAGTGCCTTTGAAAATCTTGTTGTCCAGTTTCTCTCTTTGCTGACAGTGCATCTTAAGAACCAAAGTTCTGTCAACTTGAAGAAAGTTACAGTAGCTTCTAATAGTAATTCTGGAGATGGCAGAATGGTAAAGTAAAAAGTAAATTGGAGTAATTCTGCTACATAATTGATAGAAATAAAGATTCATATGAAAAATAGGAACACTATATGGGAACCTGTAAGTATCCTGTTTTCATGAGAAGTCAGAAGTCTTACTACTTTATTTGAAAAAACAAATCTCAGATTGTTGAATGTTCAAAAGGATCTTAGTTTCATGCTTATGTTAAACTGTTCTCCATTTTTGGTGAAGGATACTGAAAGAAACAACTTCTTTTCTGCTGCACTTGGATTCATTCTTCCCGTAGCTTACAGCTATCAACCTGACTTAACTGTAATAGTTGTTGGACCAAACAGGAGCCTTGGTATAAATGGGATTTCTCTGCTTACCAGTCTTCTGAAAGGATTAGCAGAGTCTCGAATTCTTGCAGTGATTCAGGTAATAATTGACACTAATCTTGATTATCTTAAAATCCTTTTAATTGATAGAGACCCTACTTAAGCACTATTCACTTCAGCGGGAGCAGGAGCAGACTCTGAGCATCCTAGTTATCAGATCCTCACCAAAATACACTCTGCTGGGGGTATTAAATTTTATTTAGTTAGCTGATTTTAAAGTAATAAATCATTAAAATGTTAATGTAAACAAACTACATAAAAAGAAGCCAATGTAAAGGTAAAAATGTCTATGTCCTTGGACATTGGTTCAATAAAGAATTAAGTGCCAAGGAAATGTCATTTCAGTACCTCGTTTTAGGCATCTTACTCCCAGAATAGAATTTAGAATTCTGTAAAATGGTGAGGAAAGTTGTGCACTTCAGAGTAGGATCCAGAACAAGGACTCTCAGCAGGGTGCTGTCCAGGCTAGCTATAGGAAATACTGAGAAAGGCATATCTGAAATTCTTCCTCTCTCTGAGGTTTAGATTCTCCATCTAGTCACAATTCACAGAATTTTGTCCTGAAGACAGGTGCCTACACTGTTTCCTTTAAAGATGGCAACAGTGTGCTTTCTCTCTCTCTCTTTTTTTTTTTTTTTGGTTAAACATTGGTGGCAGTGGCAACACCTCCCTTGTTATATAGTTACCTAACCCACCCACAGAATGAGACCCAAATTCAGTTCAGTCTTTTGCCTGGGGGAATTCAAACCTACATTTATAGCTTCCCAGGAGAATGACCCAACATCAGCACCACCACCACCAGGCTGTTCTGGGTAGGGACTGACAATTTCTGCAAAATAGTATTGGGAGCTTTGACCCTTGGATTCTCCCTTTTTCTCTTCCACCCCCCCCCAGTAGAGGCTCTTTCCCTCTGGCTCAGCCTATCTGGATCTTTTTCCTGTGCAGTGGCACAGCTACAAAAGGAAGGGGAGAGAGACCTACCCCCTAAAATAGTGTATGGTCCGGGTGCTAGGGCATTCTTCAGGGAGATAGGGTTGTGGGCTTACATTCCCTCAAGTAGAGGATGGAACTGAATTTTGGTCTCCAATATCCTGGTTAAGTATTTTAGTCACTAGCCTATTCTTCTGTTTTTAAAAGAAAATGGCAGCTGCAACTGTACATGAGAGAACTATAGTGGGGAGTCCAGTCCTATTGATGTACATTATGAGTGGTTAGAGAACTCCTACTATACTGAGCCCCTCAGGAGACTTAAATGGAAGAATGTTTGGATTCTGATGGGATTTAGGCTCTAAGATGCTCAGCCTTGTCAAGTCTGGAGCATGTCTGGGCCTGTTCAGAGACACAGTTGTTGATTTCTAGGGACCTTCAAAGTCAACAGTGAGTGTCAGTGATTATGCAACAGCTCGACAATGGTTCTCTGGATTGCATTTTTGGACTTAGGTATCCAAATTCTGCCCAAGTCTTTTTTCTGAATCTGGTCCTTGAGCCTTATCCTTTCCATCACAGATAACTGCTTTGCAAAACTGAAGGTAATAGAGCTCATCTGCCACAGTGTTTTGTATCATAACTCTCATTCAAATACTTAAGATAATTTGATGCTATTTGAAATACAATTAGGAACAGTACCATTGGCAATGCGTAGGGAGTGCATGAAGGTGCACGTGCACCCCCTGAGCGTGGCAGTGTGCGCCCTACAAAAAGGTGCCACTGACTATCAGTGGTGCCTGTGGGTGGTTGCTGCTTGCCGTCCCTCCCTCCCCCTCACTGCTGGCGGCATCTGCGGGCAGTTAGCGGTTCCTGGTCAGCGCTTACCACCCCCTCCACTGCTGGAGGCATCTGCAGGAGCTCCCCGCTTACCACCGCCGTGCTCCTGCCACCACCAGTGCCGTTGTGCCCCCGCCAGCCACAGGGGCCACGCATTGTTCGTGAATAATACTATATAGCAGGAAGGATGCAGTGAACAAAAGGAAGGCTGGAAAAGAGTGAAATTGCACATAAATTACAATGAATCCATTTACAGTCTTCCACGTGTTTATTTAATTGGGCAGATGTAACATTTATTTATTAGGCAGCAGGCAGGGTAGAGGGGCACCTTGTAGAGTAACAAATTCAGATGCATAAGCTTTCATGAGCTATAGCTTACTTTGTCATTTGATGAAGGGAGATGTGGCTCACTAAAACTTACACATCTCTGATTTGGGCTGTAAGGTAACATCTCTACTCTGCCTTCTGACTAACTTCAGCCTATATATCTGTCTCCTCATGTATTTATTACTTAAATGCATTGAATGGAATCTGTTTTCTGGCAATTGTCCAATTAAGCACATATCATTCATCAAGGTCTCAATTAAATAGATTTCAACATACAGTTTCAGAATGACCTAGACAAATGGGAGGATTGGGCCAAAAAAAATCTTATGAGGATCAACAAAGACAAATGCAAAGTCTTGCACTTAGGATGGAAGAATCCCATGCACCACTATAGGCTTAGGACCAACTGGCTAAGCACTAGTTCTGCAGAAAAGGACCTGGGGGTTACAGTGGACAGTAACCTGGATACGGGTCAACAGTGTGCTCTTGTTGCCAAGGCTAACAGCATACTGGGCTGTATTGGTAGGAGCATTGACAGAAGATCGAGGGAAGTAATTATTCCCCTCTATTCTGCACTGGTGAGGCCACATCTGGAATGCCGTGCCCAGTTTTGGATCCCACATTATAGAAAGGATGTGGACAAACTGGAGAGAGTCCAGCGGAGAGCAATGAAAATGGTGTGGGGGCTGGAGCACATGACTTCTGAGGAGAGGCTGAGCAAACTGGGCTTATTTAGTTTGGAGAAGAGAAGACTGAAGGAGGGATTTGATAGCAGCCTTTAACTTACCTGAAGGATAGTTCCAAATAGGATGGAGCTAGACTGTTCTCAGTGGTGACAGATAACGGAACAAGGAGCAACAGTCTCAAGTGGCAGCAAGGAAAGTTTAGGTTAGATATTAGGAAAAACTTTCTCATAGGAGGGTGGTGAAGCTCTGGAATGGGTTACCCAGAGAGTTTGTGGAATCTCCATCCTTGGAGGTTTTTAAAGCCTGGCTTGACAAAGCCCTGGCTGGAATAATCTAGTTGGGGATGGTCCTGCTTCGAGCTGTGGGGTTGGACTAGATGACCTCCTAAAGTCCGTTCCAACTGTATGATTCTATACCTTATTCTATAGCTCACTCATTTTTGGAAGACTTTCTTTAAATTTACTCTAATATGTTATGGAAATCATCTAAACTGATATAACCTGACAATATACATTAATATACATACTAAAACATTTGTACACACTAATTAGGAGTATGCAGTTGGGAAAAATTATTGATAGTCTGAGGGTTAGGCCTAGGGAGATTAGAAAAGAACCTAGACAAATGCCTAAGCTTCTAAGGAATGACTGACAACAACAGATTTATATTGGTGCTCAGCAAGCAGTGAGCTTAGCTTTTTAGAAGAACTAAAAACTTCCTTGCCCTTTTTAATAACATAAGATTAAAGGGTACATTCCTGAAGATTGAAAGTAATTTGGTATGCTCTTCATTGTATATCATAATGTCCGCAGACACTGCTTTAAATGAGTGTGCTTTAAGTGACTTTAGACTGTTCAAAGATTCCAACAAATGCTTAAAATGCCTTTACTGAGCAAAGCAAGATAAATCACTATCCCTGATTGAAAATACAGTGATCTGTGAAACAAACAAGCCCTGTTTTGCCTCCCACTCCTTTTCTGTCTGTAGGGATAGTGCTTTTTGCTCATAAGAGTGTAATTGAGAGACAGTTTGGATTTGGGACACATTCGTTTTCCAGAAATTCAGTATAAATTTGCTTATTATCTGCTTCTGAAAGAACTCCTTCATTGCTAGCACTTAAAAAAAAAAAAAAGAAATTTAATCTGAAAACGAAGTTGCTCATTCCTGCCAACTTTTTTGCAAGAGTTTGTTTTAAATGAGTCAGCCTGCTTCACTACAACACTCTTTTTAAATAGGACACAGAGATAAAACTGGTGCAAAGTGTGGCTAAAGCCTTAAACAAGGTTTCTACACATGATTTTGGAGTCTATGCATCTGCTTCTCAAGAAAATGTACGTGAGATAAAACTATTAAGGCACCAGCTTCAACAGGAATGGAAAATGCTTCAGTGTTCAGGTAATTATCCAGTTCTGGCTCCACTTCTTACTACTGTAGATAGTTTCTGAAAATGATATAAGCTTAACAAGGGCTTGATCCTGTACCATTAAGTCATTGGGAGTGTTTCAATTGATAGCATATGAGCAGGAAGAAGTCCTAAATGCCTGGTAAGATCATCTCTTATCTTCCATTTCAGACAGAAAATATTAAATTCTATGTGAAGGGGGGAGTGCATAGAACACAGAGCACAGCCATTTCTATATATTTAGCGATAAGAACTAATACTGAAAAATAGTTGTGGTACCAAACTATATAAATTTAGAGAATAATTAAGAGGACAAAGACAGGGTCCATGTTAACCTTCTTCTGAACATGGTTCAGAATTTGCTAATGTGTGTACATGTTTAGCTTAGTTTCTATGAGTAATCCTGTTGAAGTCAATGAAAGTTCCTCATATATTTAATGTGCATGCATAGATATTTCCAGGATGACAATCTTTGGACTAATAACTGCTCTTTTGTTTCCTTCTCTTTGTAGTAAGGGACTGTTTTTCTGGCAGCTGAGGATACTTTGCTATCATCTGATGCATTTCGTCACAACAGAAGAAGAGAACAATGTGTTAAGCAAACAAAAAGATGATTAAGCTAAGCCAGAGCAAGAGCCATTCATGATTATTTTATGGCATTTATATTAAAAAACCCCAACATTTTCAGCCAGTGGGGGCTGGAGCACATGACTTCTGAGGAGAGGCTGAGCAAACTGGGCTTATTTAGTTTGGAGAAGAGAAGACTGAGGAGGGTGCTATAGCTAATAAAACTAGCTATATAGCTATAGCTAATAAAAGGCTGCTATAGCTAATAAAACTAGCTGTATAGTTTTATTATGATGCCGAACCAAATCCTCATGAAGTATCTATACTGGGAGAAAAGTTGGAACGGCATGCCATATTATGAGCCTGATCTGACAAAGAAGTGCATGCAAAGGTTAATGCACATTCTCAGTTACTCATGTGCTTAAGTGTTTCCAGGATTGGGGCCTGTGTGATTTCATAGACATTAGGGGCTGGAAGGGACCTCATGAGATTGAGTCCAGCCCCCTCGACATAGGCAGGAAGTCAAGTGACCCCAACAAGAAATATATCCACCTGTTTTAGGAGAGTCCAGAATACGTGCTTGCACCACCTCTGGGGGGAGTTTGTTCCAGACCCTGGACACGCACTGTGAAGAACTTTTTTCTTATGTCTAGTCTAGATCGGCTTTCCTGGAGTTTATGGCCATTAGACCTTGTTATCCCTTTGTGAGCTCTGGTAAACAGCTGTTCTCCTAGGTCCTGATGCACCCCGCTTATGTAATTGTAGGCTGCCACCAAGTCCCCCCTGAGCCTTCACTTCTCCAGACTGAAGAGTCCCAAGTCCCTCAGCCTCTCCTCGTATGGCCTTCCCTCCAGGCCTTGGATCATATGGGTGGCTCTCCTCTGGACTCTCTCAAGCTTCTCCTTCCTAAAGTGGGGGGCCCAATACTGGACACAGTACTCCAGCTGTGGTCTCACCAGGGCCGAGTAAAGCAGGAGGATGACTTTCCTGGTTTTGCTTGAGATGCATCGGTGGATGCACACCAGAGTTTGGTTTGCTTTGCCAGCCACAGCATCGGTTTGGTGGCTCATATTCATCTTGTGGTCAATCAAGACGCCCAAGTCCCTTTTGGTCTTGGTGCTAGTGAACGTAGCACTGCCGAGCCTGTAAACATGTTGAAGGTTCTTCCTACCAAGGTGCAGCACCTTACATTTCTAAACATTGAAGGCCATCAGGTTTTGGTCGGCCCACTTTGAGAGCATGTCCAAATCGGCCTGTATCCCCAGCCTTTGCATTTGTGAGTGCAAAGAAGGTTTGCTGATGAAATAAGCTGAGCATGAGTTTTGAAGCTGACTAGAAACTTGGTCTGAAGTGTAGAGAAGGCAGAAAATGGGTTTCTGAACTGACTAAGCATAATAACTGAATTACTGCAAATTATAAACAAATGCCCAGCACTGCCTGCTAGTAACAGGAGCCAAATACGTTATTTTTTTTCTGAATGCATCTGTAGAACCTCCTTGCTTTCTTGGAATGCACCAGTCTCTGGCAAGTGACCAGATTTGTTTTCTGCCTGCATTTCTAAGATAATTTTTTCCAAGGCTGAATAACAAAAAGTAACTATGAAACTAGTGAACCTACTCATGGAGTAGGGTGCTACTCAAAAAGCACAGTGTTATCAGTGTTTGACCCTGGTTACCATTCCCCATAACCCCCACACATACATAATTGCACTCTATTTTAATTTTCTGATTACCAATTGCCTACTTCGCTATTTCCCAGAAGAAGTTTAAAAAGAGAGGAGTTGATAGATATCTGGTGTGCATTCATTCTGGTGTGCGGTTTTTGTTTGGTCTCTCCGTATTTTCCATCAGGGCATTTGGCACACCAGAATGAATGCACACTAGAAATCTATCAAAGACAAGAATACCCAGTTACCTGTGGGGGCACATTTCTCACAAGAAAACCACTCTCTCCAATCTCTCAGTTCTAATCCTCAAAGGGAATTTACAGAACAGCTCACTGCAGAGAGGAGCCTATGAACTTCACTTCATCAACCTCCTGGATACAAAAAATCATGGACTCAATATAGACATTGGATTTATGACACATTGTAACCTGCCTGGCATCTGACTCCCCAGGTACCTCTCCACTATTTAACTGCTACGTTCATCCCCCTTCTCCCCGTCCCACCCAGCCTGTCTCGCACCTACTGATTCCTCAGTTTACATCTTCACTGACTGCCGATCTTACATGCATACCAGCCCAGCCTCTGGCTTCTTTACTATTTATTCTATCCAGGAAGAGCACACACCAACTGCAGAGACTTCCTTGGCCTGACGAAGGGTTTTTAAACACAAAAACTTGCTATAAAATTTTTTTCCAACTATTTAAGTTGAGCTAACAAAAGATATCATATTCACCTAAAAAATCTTGTCTGCCTGTGTCCTGAGATCAACATGGCTGCAACCTACACCCTCAATCACTATAATAAATTCTAAATACCAGTACATTTTGGCTTTTGATTTTAGGTTTTTTAATGTGGCAAATAAGAGCTCCCCTGGCCCCCTTTGCTCACCAGGACATGGGTCCAGCTGTTTATCTCCCCCACTGCTTTGTGGTGCTGAGAAGCCCTGGTATGCCAGTGCCCTGCCCATGCCATTGCCCCTCTCCAAAGCCACAGCCCCCAGCCCTGCTAGTGCCCCTCGCTCCCAACCCACAGCCCCCTGGTCCTGCTGGTACCCCTCACTACCCAACCACGGCACGGCCCCCTAGCCCTGCCAGTGCCCCTCACTCCCAATCCACAGCCCCCCATCCCCACTGATGCCCCTCACTCTGCACCCAGAGTCCCCTGCTCCCCAACCCTGCTGGAAGGGGCCCCCAGCTGCCAGGGCTACAGGGCCCAAACCCCAAATGCTGCCCATGGGAGGTTGCAGCTGTCGTGAAAAGGGGCATGGACCCTGGGTCCCCCCACAGTGGCACAACCCGAGCAGAGCCTGTCGGGGGAGTGGATGTGGTCTGTGGGCTTGGGCTCCCCACAGGCTGCAGAGGCCCTGGGACCTCTGCAACCCAGCAGGCAAGGTCCACCATGACAGGGCAGAATGGGGCTGGGCAGGGAGGCTCGTTGCTGCTGCTGGGAGCTCTACGCCACCAGCGAGGTGCTCCCTGCCTACCCGTCAGCAGCAAGGGGCACAACTCTGCACCCCCACCCTCACCACTGACAGGTGGGCAGCGGGCTCCTCGCTATGGTGGTGCGGGGCTTATGGCAGTGACAATGAGCTTTCACACCCCACTTTGCTGCACTGGGTTTTGCCCCCTGGGCTGCAAAGGCCCTGGGAGCAGGGCAGGGAGCCTGAGTCTGCAGTGAGCAGCCTGCACTTGCCCTACCCTGTGCACAAATCTGGGACGCACATGCCCCCCAGGGCCTCCCTGGGATTGCATACAGCAGCGGGGAGCCAGGCCCGACCCCCCGGATGAGTTGCCCATGGCTTTGTCCCGCTTCCCAGTCAGGCCCTATGGCTGTGTATTCCAGCCCCGGGCCTCAAGCCCCATGCATGGCCCAGGCTGAGCAGCAGTCCCAGCCCTGCATGACTCCCTCTGTCCCTCATTATGAGGGCTTTAATACATGTCCCCCCTGCCCCCTGCCACTAGACTTACCTGTGGGAGCTGCTCTCCAGGCTGCCTGGCAGCCATGTGCATGTGTATGCATGCACATGCACACAGCACCCCCTGCCTCACCGCCCGCCTCCCCCCAGCCCCTTGCAGGCTGGAACTCTGCCACCCTGTAAGGAGAAACCCACTGTTTCCCATGTTTTTTCCTTTAAAGGAGAACATCGGGTTTTTTCTTAAAATGAGATTACTGCATTTTTCCATGGCAAACAGAAAACCCGGATCCATGTTGATGACTATGCACTGAACACAATGATCCAAGCAATTATGTATCTATCTTACAGTACTTTCATCTAGTCTGCATTTCCTTAGCTTAGTAATGAGAATGGCATAGGAGACAGTATCAAAAAGCCTCACTAAAATCTAATTCTGAAGCAAAGTCTGTGTGTGGATTCAGGGTCATTTAAAAATAATGATAATTTGGCAACCTAAGATAATATTGATGTGTTAATTATATTACATACTGCATGTTATTTTCCATTGTAGCATGTCTTGGTTCTGTTGTCAAGACTAAGTACAACCTTTGACTTAATATATCTTCCTTTAGAAACACAACAGTGTGAAACACTGCTCCTATATGTGCTGCAAATATTCTATAGGTATAGAACTTCATTTTCCTGGGCTTTCAGAACAACCTCTTTCCTGACCATAAAGAATACATGCAATACATTTTTAAAAAGAGGGTTCTTTTATAAAAATAAGAAGTCTAGTGATCCTGTGCAACTGTAATACGGACTAATGTAGCTAAATAAAATTCCAACAAATGGGAATTAGTTTGTTGTTTGCAAACATGCCAGGTATGTTTTGGCAGAGTGCACCTGCTGTGCTGTTAAATGTGCCTCTTGACCTTGCATTCTACCGTTTTCAGTGGAATGTTAATGAGCAGGCGCCTACACAACAGGAAACCATCCTCTACCAGAGCAGTGCTTTTTGACTGGTCTTGGCAGAGAATTAATCCTAGGTACAGAATTAGGCATGTGTCTCTTGTTGCTTTTAAATACATGCCCCATTAAGTATGGCATTTACTATATGAATCCCCCTGCTGTACCCATCATTCTTCTGACAATGCTATGAATCATGTAAACAGTTGATATCTAGCTCATATTGAAACACAAATACTTCTAAAAGCACTTTAAACCCAGGGGCTTTATGTTCTTCTCTCTTCACTTCTCTGGCTGACACTGGAAAATGAACAGGACATTAAACATTAAATGCAAGAAACAATTTAAAATAAGGCACATCACTACTAGAACAATATAATTTGTTCCAGCCATTGTAAAGATAGTTATTTATTTTTGTAATTGGAACATTAATATTTGATCATGATAAAGCAGCATGAATAAAGCTAATATTTGAAAATCTATTAATGTTACTTGTATTGTTAAATAGCTTTCTCATTTTGATAGTATTGAAGTTAAGGTGATCTTTTCAAGAGCACTAAAAACAGCCTAAACCCCATTGAAAGTAAGTGGGACAAGCTTCTGTAAGCTTTGGAGTTGTTGGTTGTAGCCGTGTTGGTCTAAGGACACAGGCAGATAAAGTTCTTTGGGTAAAAGTGAGATCTTTTATTAGACCAACTAAATAGGGAGGTTTTTTTAGATGTTTAATTGAACATTGAAAACAAAGTGCATACATAAGACTACAAAAGACTAGTCATAATCTTTCTTGATATTAATGGTTATGGACTTTGATACTCAGAGTACTACAACTTTAAATAGCAATAATCTTTTCTACATGTCTTCTGCCAATGGCTATACAAGTAAAAACCTTTCTGGTTGACATTAGATGGATACACAACTGGCTGAATAGCTACAAACTATATTAATAGATCCATTCCTGACTGGCAGGTCTGAAATGGGCTGTTTAACGGTATACTCTGGCTCTGGTGAGGTTCACCATGGCTGCTAATGACCTGGATGCATGGATGGAGGTGACGGGTAGAAACTGAATCAGAAGGGGTGGCAAACCCTTCAAAGGGTGAGATTAAAATTCAAAGTGATTTTGCTAATTTGTAGAATCGGGGTAGAAAGGAAAGAAATTTCCCCCTAGGCAAAGGTAAAGGCACTAGGGCTAGCAAAGGAAAAACAAATGCACAAACAGGTGGGAGATGCCCGTCTTTTTTGCAGCCTGGTGAGATGGCAGATGAGAAACTCAACAGAAATCAGCAAGGTTAGGTTGCTTAAAAAAACAAAAAAAATCAAAACCTATCTGGGGTTGCATTAACTCCATCCTTGGGGCGGGTGCACGGCACGGGGGCTGGAGTCCCCCGGCCCACTGCGGGCATCACATGCAAAGGGGGCAGCACAGGGAGGGGCGCGAGGAGGAAGCGAGACCCGAGGGGTGCGGGGTTAGGTCGCGGGCGCGTCGCGCGATAGTGACGCCATCAGAGCGACACCGCGCGCGGAGCTGCAGCCCCTCCGAATGGGGGAGGGTCGTGACGACAGTCAGCCGCGCCGGCGCAGTGACGTCATCGCCCGGCGCGGGGCGGCAGGTCCCCGAGGCCATGGCGCCGAGGGCCCCGCGCAGCGGGCGGTGAGGGCGGCGGCGCGGCCATGGAGAGCGTCCCGCGGCTGCTGGCG